GAACAGGCCTTCATTAATCAGAATCTCTCACACTTCCTCCCGGTACTCCAAGGCTGCCACATTTTAAAGGCATCCAGTGCAGTTTTTATAGGGCTTGGAAACTCGATTTTTCAAAGCCAATATTCTAGTCATTTATCTATATTGATGTAACAGTTACATACTGAGTTGAAACCACATTATTCCAATGTATATTGACCCTCACGGAGCAAAAATACGCAAAATTCTGACAGAAAATAGTCGGTACTGGAAGGGCTGATTTTTAGGGTACCACCCAGAAAATAGAGGACTCATCTTGGGGCTTGTTTCTGCAGTTTGAAATGCCCAAAGTATGAAATACTGATTTTTGTGCTAATGTGAAGCAATATGTGTCAATATCACAAAGATTGCCTTATGCAGAATATTTCCATTTTTGCTGCCCTGAAATCGCATTGGATGCCTTTCAAGATCAGTTGGAATTTAAAGAGATCTACATTGTACTAACACAGCATCAGTGATCCCTGAGGTGCACGCAATTCAGATACCCACTCAAGGTATTCAGGACGCTCCTGGCTTGAGATGTCCTTGATAACACTGTTTTTTTATGTTTTTATGTAGAATTATGAGACTTGACTTCATCATTTTGCACCCAGACAGGTGCCTGTTTAATATTCAGTGCATGTGCTGAGACGGTGTCGCCAGAAATGCCCCACTATTCAGGTGAAACCATTTGCTGTACTGTCTGGTACAGGACAGGGTTCGATTAGAGATGAAAAGATCACTTCAAGCGTAATGTCCTTGCATGCTCGGCTTGTTTGTTACATGTACGTGGCTTATTCTAGATCTTATTCCATTCAATTAGAAAGAAATCAAGGATCGACATTTGCATAATTAATATGTAGATGCTAGAATAGCATCTTTGCCAGAAATCATGAAAATCTGTTGTTCCTTTCTTGATCTGTCCACTTTGCCTGTAAGTCCAGTACAAGCTGCTAGGGAGAACAAACACACACCACTTATTTCTTGCATGAAAAGCTAGTATCAGCCACCAAAAATTTAGACCATAGCATGTTCAGGACAAAACATCCAAAAAAGTTCTGCTTCAGTACCAAGGTCAGTGCCCAAGTGCCCAAATTTGACCTGGACCTTTGTCTTCCTAATACCTACCCAGATACCAAATACATAATCATCACAATCCATAAAGGCGTTCTTAAATGCTGACTACACATGTGCGGAAACACTCACAGACAGACAAACAGACACTGAAAACAATACCTTCATTTTTTATTAAGGTAATGAGTTGTCAGTCATCTTTGTAACATCATTTGGTGAAAGTATGAGGTAATTGAAACTCTAGTTTATTATGTTATGTTGACCACAAATATCTGGAAACATACACAGATACACAGACAGACCCCAAAACAATGCCTCCATTGTTTGTATATCAGATATGGTAACAAAAAGGATGTACCTGACAGTGTGTTTATGAACACTTGTATCCTATCTGAAATCCTGTTTGCTTTAGAAGCAAGAGGTTGGAGATTTCAGACTTCTGGTAAGTATTTGGGAAGTATTTTCTGAAGTTAGTGGAAGAACTGAGGAGATTGGGACTAGGACAGAAACTGTGCAGGGTTGGAGGGTTGTTCATGCAATCCTCGGCTTCCTGAATTCCCCCCCTGGCGACCCCAGTTTCCTGCTGGCTACTAGTCAGATTGTAGGACCTTACCTTCAAGTTCACCATATTTCCTGTGTCTGACCTTTTCATCATCATCGCCTCCGCTCACATCCCACGTGCTATCAACCTACTCTGTCCAGACAAACAGACACACAAACCCACAGCTCAGCCACCCAAAACAGTACTTCTGTACCCATAGGTTTTGGGGTTCTAAAGCTGCATAGTTCATCCCCCAATCACAACAACGTGGTATGAATTTTGCAAACCTTCTGAATGATATGATAATTGTGTACATGTATGTGCTGGGTCCCCTCTTTTAATGTGAGTTCGGCTGTTTTAAGTTTTGTAATAACTTAGGATTTGTGCTGTAAATCTAAAATTTTTTTAATATTTTGGGAAATTCATGCCACTGGAAATTTAAGCTGTAGACAAAAGTGACTCCTGTAAAACAGAATTGTTTCAACTGCAAATTTTTAATGCCACCAGAGTAACTGAATTTAGAGAGCATGTAATATGCCTTTCAGCCTAGCAGTGACATCAGCATTTCAAGAAAAAATTCAAGAACAAGATATTATGTGTATTACAGAAAATGGCAAGATATTTCAAAATGCTTCAGTTTTTTGTTGTTTTTTTCAAAATCCTGCCCAACCTAGTGATGTAAATACTGACCCTCCCTCGCCCCTAATGGTGTACGTGACAGTACATGATTGATGTGTGGGTCGAAGGTCAACACACAACAGCCAACCTCATGAACTCTGTCTCCCCACAAACTGTCCATACAAACTGACTTCTTAGAATTCTATTAACCAGATACGTTTTGTTATTTCCTACCAGCTATCTTCTTGTAAGCGTAGCTTTAGGCCACACCAATTTAATTTGTTGGTTCTCGGATTCGCCTCAGAGTCTTAATTTTTTCCTGATTTGCAAAAAAAAATCCTGGTTCTGAATCAACTTAAAAATGCTCTTATTATGCCCCTAACAGTTGAGGAAAGTCCTTCTCTTCCTAGTTTCTACAGTTTTTCCATCTATCAATGCAGTGGTTTGATTAAAATTTCAAAATTCATTGTTTAGATTTTAACCCAGCCTTTTGTGTTGACTTCATGGCTACTATCATAGCATTTGGGGCTATAATAGGACGCCTAGACCTGTTTTTATTCATTTTTTTCGCTGCTAGCTGTCGCTTCATATTTTTTCTGAAAAAATCTGAGAACCAACAAATTAAATTGGTGTGACCTAAGCATAACTTTACAAGAATTTTTCATGTTCATTCACTGACACAATATGCACTTAGACAGTGGTCTAGTTTTCAAAGTTCCTAAACATACAACACAAGACCTGTGACCCAAAATTGGACTTGTACCTTTGTCTTTCATTGTGTAATCAGCTTATAGTGTGGGTATATTTTTGGAGGAATGCCTTTCAGTTATTTCTGGGGCTCCACCCATACTGTACACAGCCTATTGACACTATTTATCCTCCTGTCATCACAATGTTTACAAACACTGCGTAATCAGTCAGCTTACAGTACATCAAAGCTACCGACTGTAGAATATTGATGTAATGCGTGTTGAAGGATCCAGCGTTCTACACGTATGATACTCCCTATTTGCGCTAGACTTAAAAATCTTACCATGATGTTTAAATTCTGTCCCCGCTATAGCTTTTAATGTTAGCTGTTGGTAGAATGTAACACTGACTTCACTTCGGCACAGCTGAACACTCTTCACTCAGCATGGTGAACTCCCTGACATTTGAGAGCACCGAGGGTCTATCGGCCATTCTCCCTGACATTCTCTCTTGAACCTTTGTGCAAACACACTTGAAAAGGTGAACAAATGACAGAACCACCCTTGTTCAGTGATCTGTGAAGCCATGGTATTGACTTGCTCGTGAGTTTGTTGAGTGCAGTATGTGCTTCATGTCGGAAAAATATCAGTGACATTGTTGTGACGTGGACTGAAACAACTTGAGCATTGTTGTAGATTTGTGAAGTAGCTCCTGAGAGCTGTCTCTAGGAAGGGAGGGAAAGTTTCTTAAGAAATTTCACCATGTCTACCCAAAAAGTGTGAACTTCTTCATATGAAAAATATTTTCATAAGCTAACGATAGCAGATTTAACAACATTTACTCGTTGAAAATTTTCTAGTCAAAAAGTGTGAAAGGTGGTTGGAATTTAGGATGTGTTGTTGTGAGAGCACCCTTTCTTAAGGTTAATCTGCTGTTAACAAATCTCCCCACTGTCTTACAACACTACTGCATTCAAATACCTACGAACACAGGCAAACATGCCCTACTACTCTTCTACCTCCATGAACACACCCAAAACATGACCTTGAAGTTCATACCCTAAGGTAATAGAATAGCTGTTCAACACAAGAGGTTTGCTGATCACTGCCAAGTGAAGAGGTGATCTCATCACTCCATCATTCTGTGGTGGCCAAGACGGAATAGCTTCTCCTGGAAAACTGACTTTTCCTGAAGCAAACTCAAGATATAACTTACATGTAACTGCTTTTAGACACTTTAGATCTGAAAACATCCCTGGTCGACCGGCCCCTGAAGTTCAGGGACTTGTCCCAACCTCCAGGGGGGCTTGATGATAATGATGATGATGATGATGAAGATGATGAAGATGATGATAATGATGACGATGATGATAATGATGGTGATAATGAAGATGATGATGATGATGATGATGGTGATGATGAAGATGGTGATGATGAAGATGATGATGATGAAGATGATTATAATGATGATGATGATAATGATGGTGATGATGAAGATGATGATGAAGATAATGATGACGATGATGATAATGATGGTGATGATGATGATGGTGATGATGATGATGGTGATGATGAAAATGATGATGATGATAAAGATGATGATGATGATGACAAAAACATGACATCAATACTTAACCCTACATGTACATGTACCCTCAGCTATAGCTGTGCTTATGGCTCATTTCCAAACCGGGGCCCAGTCGGGCTGTTTGTGTGAACAGAAACAAACAATTAACAGTAAATAGTACCCATAATTAATTTTTTAAAACTTTTGTTGTGTTTGTTTTCTTTTACTAGTATATCATACTTTTCATTCCTAGAAACTGGCCAGTCATGCCCCAGGCTGGGAGTTGCACCCTAAAACCACACCAATTTAATTTGTTGTTTCTTGTATTTAAAAAAAAAATGAAGCTACAGGGCAACAAAAAATGAAAATAGGTCTAGGCATATTATTATTATAGCCCCAAATGCTATGATAGGAGAACCAACAAATTAAATTGGTGTGGCCTAATCATTAGCTAGACATACTCTGACACCTCCCCTGTCATTCCGTGTGCTCTCAGGTCCAAGAACAGCGGATGTTCTACCAGAGCAGCAAGTGTATCATCACGGAGGAGAAGATGTGCAGAGTCTGCAAGAAGAAAATTGGAAACAGGTAAGATCAGTCAGAAGTAGAAATGACATCTGTCTTAAGTTATGGAGTGTTGTCACTTTGAATCATACCAATGAATCTGGGAGGTTTGTATGTACACAAATGTAATATAATTATACTTTGTGGTTTAGCATGATAACTCAAGAAGCTAAGGATGGATTGTCACGAAATTTGCTAGGTGGGTAGGTGTTGATGAGACCTCAAAATGATTAGATTTTAGGTTCCCTAGCAGCTGGTTATGGTACTGCAGTGGAAATTCTGGTTTTGATATCTCATTACATGTATCTGGACATGCTAGGGTGACAGATTTTATATGGTATATGTATACATGTATATAGCTCTTGTGTTTGGGGAAGATATGGCATGGGTTGGGGTACTCTAGCAGCTTGTTGTGGAACTGCAGGGGCATTTGTTTGAAAATATTTGAGGGAGGATTTTTTTTACCATAGCTCAAGTATTTGCAGCTTTTCAAATGCTTGAACTACGACTCATTGAAATGCAAATAGCTACATGCACCTCCATGTTTTATTGGTCACATGAACTAGTTGCTGACCAGCATAGTTCACCAAGGCACTGTCCGTGGTGCTGAAATCTCATCAGCTATCATTTTCTGTTATATGAGGATTAGGTCACTCCAATTCAATTTGTTGGTTCACAGATTCGCCGGCTTCATTTTTTTCAGGTTTGCAAAAAAAAAAAACATTTCAGCCTCTGAATCAACTCCAAAATGGTCATATTTTGGCCCCAACAGTTGAAGAAAGTCCCTTCTCTTCAGAGTTGTTACAGTTTGTCCATCTATCAAAGCAGTGGTTTCATTGATAGCTTGAAAGTCAATGTTTGTTTGTTTGTTTGTTTGTTTGTTTGTTTGAGCCTCAACTCGATCTGTAACTGTGTTACATGCTCTAATCGGCCGCTATTTCGGCCGCTTTTCATAGAGGTCGAGCGTGGAGGAGTGTCAGGGGGTCATAACATAAATACTACTTGCTCACAAATGAAAACAAAGTAATAATTTTTATACACAAGGTAACTCACACAAAGTAAATTAATGTTTGAATTACAAACCAGCCTGTTACATGTATGTTGATTTCATGGCTCCTATCATAGCATTTTGGGCTCTGTTGCTTCATATTTTTTTCGACCTCTGAGAACCAACAAATCAAAATTGGTGTGGCCTTATTGCTGGTCAATGTAATCAGTATAAGCACAGCAATGACATCATGTGCTATATGCCAAATAGATGAGTTTAGATTTTACCTTGCAAGTACACAGCATTTTTTCCTTTTCTGACAAAGGAAAAAAACCTTGTAGTCTTGAACCCTAACATAATCCTGAAGTGACTGATTGTACATTTATTGGTCTTGTTACTTTCTTTATTAAGATTTGTCACAATGTTGTTGTGAATGAATGGGTTTATTATGATCATCATAGCCATAAAAATTATGCTGAATTGCATACTTAGTACTTTTTTTTTTACAGATAATAAAAGCTAACCTTTGTTTTCCTAGTAATTTAGAAATTATCCTTTGTACAAAGTAGAATCTCATTCATACACTTTAGTACATTCAGTGTACTTGTATAAGCTTTGATTTATGTCACATATTTTGTCTCAAGTTGTTCGCAGCAGCTAATAGTTGAATTATAGTTAAGGCCACTGATTTTTTCAGAAAAAATATGAAGCGACAGGGCGAAATAAAAGAAACAGGCCAAGGCACCCCATGATAGCCGGGAATGTTACTATATCTTGTGAAGTGAACACACCCGGCTGGTTTATAATTGAAATAATAGATTTTGAACTTTTAATGAAACAAAATTGCATTGTTACATTGAATAACTTTAACCAAAATATGTCTTTCATTGAGCATTTTGCGTTGATTTACAACCCCCCCCCCCAATTTTTTTTTTTTTTGCAAATCAGAAAAAAAATGAACAGGGCGAATCTGAGAAACAAGAAGTTGGCGTGGCCTAAAGGTAGTAAATTAAATACAATATATAAAACATGGTTGGTAAATATACATTAAAACAAAGCTCCAGAAGCAGGCAATGTTGTTGATACGGCCTAATGTATGCAGTATGCCTCATGAGAATGGGAACGACTGAGGCAGGGTAATGTACATGTCTTTGTGTACCAGATAAGATCCTCCCCATGGCCCAAACAAATAACAATGACAATGACAATGAACTTTATTGCATGTTCACGCCCTACACGGGCCAGTTGCACTTAAGTTAGATAACTTGGTAACAAGAATAGAAGAAGTCATTGTTACATTCGTGTGCTATTTCTCTATCTACAGGATCTAACTACAGGATCTCTTCTCTCTTGAAACATGTATAACACAGCATAACAGAACAGGGCTCAAAATACTGGGTGCATGTGCACCTTAGTCCACCCAAAATTGGAGTTGTGCACCTAATTTTTTTCTGTGGGTGCACTGCATGGTTCAATTTTAAACATTAGATGTGTATGATAGTATACCGGATATTCTTGGTCTCTAAGTATCAGAAAAATAATGAAATCTTTGTTGTTACGTGTAGTAATGTTTACGATTTTGAAGTTAACTCTCATTTTAGATTCAAGCTCAGAAGAGGAGCAGTAAGACCTGCAATTAGGTTTTGTTTCATAAGGTGCACCCCCCAAAAAATTTTGTGCACCCAATTTTTTAGGTTAGGTGCACCAGTGCACCTATTCCCAAAAATGAATTTCGAGCCCTGCAGAAGCATTGGGAATGAAATGGTATAGATTATTTAAACAGTGCTTTGGTATTCCAAGCTCATCTTTAGTATTAGTAGAAAGACCAGAGTCATCCACAAAATGTATGTATATGAGGAGAGGACTGGGTTATGTCAAGCGTAATGTTGGGGAAGAACCCATGACAGGTTGTTAGAATGGGTGCCATTAATTTCCCTTGACAGGTGTGTTTTCAGTCACTGGTGCGTTTTATTGGGAAGAGACAAGTCTGGAGAGAATGGGTTTTACGTTGTTTTTTTTATATTTTATTTTATTCATCAAAACATAAAAACATAACAAGGACAGTGTGATGCTGCACTCAAGTTTACAACTTATATTAACAGGGCCACACAACAAAAAAGGTACAATTAACATTTAAATTTACAAAGTTGACATATCTGTGCGCCGTAGTCCCACCACCCCAAGACATTAAAATGTTAAATTAAATGCTAACAGAGCTATTTGAAAGATAAGAGTACATGGTAACCTCCTATATCTCATTGGCGGAAAAACATCCGCCAATCAGAGCTAGGAGGGGAATTTAGGCCCATTAACACTTACATGTACGTAGTATTTTAGTAGGTTTTAACGTTAATCTTCATATACATGTACATATAAGAGTGTTATGGACTTGCGTGTTGGAACGAACTACGATTGGAACTAAATGTTATAAAGTGTCATAAAAAATGAGCTTCTGTCTCCTGTATCTTACAGGGAAAAGTCATGACCTGAAACTTAAGGCCACACCAATTTAATTTTTCAGAAAAAATATGAAGTGACAGGGCTAAAAAAAATAAATAAATAAAAACAAGTCTAGGCATTCTATTATAGCCCCAAATGCTACGATAGGAGCCATGAAGTCAACACAAAAGGCTGGGTTAATAGTTAAACAATGAATTTTGAACTTCCAATCAAACCACTGCATTGATAGATGCAAAAACTGTAACAACTAGGAAGAAAGGACTGTAGGGGGCAAAATATGAGCATTTTTGTGTTGATTCAGAACCGGAATCTTTTTTTTTTTTGCAAATCAGAAAAAAAGAAGGGGTGAATCCGAGAACCAACAAATTAAATTGGTGTGGCCTAAGCAGTAGTTATAAACAAAAAAATGCAAATATTGACATGTACATGTAAGCTCCTGTGACTGTAAATGACTGATGATGAGCAGCATAGTGGTTACAGTAAGGCCACACCGACTTAATTTTATGGATGACATCCTCTGAAGACCCCCAAACTAGTGCGCGAGGGCGAATAAAAAAATTCCAAAAATAAAAATGCTACTAAACCACAGGAATACAAAGCTGGTATTGTAAATTTACGGCAGTACATACATGTAGCAACCTATACGACAAGCCGGCACATGCTGGCTTTTTGTGGATTTATGAATCGGCACTGTACGTATGTACCGAGTTCTTGAGTCGTGGAGCTTCAGCAGCCTGGGTGCCTCTGAGTGTTCGTACTCGCACTGCTACGAAACAGCTCTACAGCTTCGACCCTCACATGCTGGACACTCCCAAAGCACATGTGGAATCTTTCAAGGGCAGCCTGCAGTACCAAGGACCTGTCCTGTGGAACTGTCTTGCTGCTGACCAGCGGCAACTGATAGCAACGTCAGCTTTTAAAAACGGACTGTAGATGACCGCAGATGAAATGTGCCTATATTGTATACTGTGATTGTTTTGTATAATATGTAAATGTTTGTAATATTTGTTGTATATTGTTGCGTTGAACTTGTGTATGTAATTTTTAATGTGTGCCCAGGGATACCTGAAAATCAGATCAACTGATCTGAGGTATGCCCTGGTGAAATAAATAAACTTGAAACTTGAAACTTGAGTTACCTCGGAGGACATCGTAATCTTTTTTTTTTAGAACAGACGAAAATCAATGTGCGTGCGGATGTCATCCATAAAATTGAGTCACTGTTGCCTAATGGATGGGAATATGTAACATCACGGAGGTCTCTGATGACCAGGCCAAACAAAACTTTTGCTCGTTTTTATCTGTCATGTACGTCAAATATTGTCAATTCAGATGTTTTCAACAGCATGTGCTTCAAATATCTGTATACAATTTTGTCTTCTGTTAGGCAACACCAATTTAACTTGTTGGTCTTCAGATTTTTTTATAGAAAAAATATAAAGTAGCAAAAATTTATAAACAAGAGTTCCACGATCTCATACCTTCGCCAAAAGATGTTAACCCTTGCGGGTGACGAATTCTACAATTTTAATCATTGATTTTGTAAATAAGAGCCTCATTTGCATGGGTTATATCA